GATGTGATGTCGCATCGCAAAAATGTGCGAGCTCCAAGTATCGTGTATCTCCTAAGCAATGACAGAACCGCACACTTCTTTTTACGATCCATGTCACGACCTAGTTTTCAATTTAAAATACGTTTAGTACGGTTGACGGTCGTCAAAGGAATGGCCACCCTGGGAGACGCCTTATCGCACGAAATCGCATCGCAGCAATTCGCATCGTAATTTTCTGCGTTACGAATTTGCATCGCAGTTTTGTAAGTGGCTCAATCAATGTAATTTTTACAGGTTAAGTGATTTTATTAATGTTTTACGTTAATTGCTTACTCGTTTCTGTGAAAATAACAAACTTTTGCATGCGATTTTATTATCTTAGTGAAATAGGTTGAGCTATTGTAACTAAGTGAATCCTAAGTAGGCAGACGATGTGGTTCAACAAGAGATCCTCGCTGACTTCCAACATGTTTAGCAACATGATGTTGTTATGGCACGTGCCAAATGGTTCCTAGTGGAAACGAGGTTTTTAGGTGCACTTTAGGTAGGATATAATAAATATTCTAATAGTTAAGTCCAAATAAATTATTCGAAATGTATAATAATTCACATGGTGTCATTTGATTATCGATTTCAGGGACACCCTGAATGTCTCCTTCAGTAAATCACCGAGGGAAACGGAAACTATTGTTTTTTTCTTCTCCTCTTATAATATCTTCTGATCCACTTCGTTGCGAGAACCAAAATAGATGCGTCATGTCCCTGACACGCGCTAGACTTCAGTCAGTATTCCCGTGTTTTCATGGCCTTATCTACTGTAGACTCTGGCTAACAGGAGTTGCAGCGGTTTCGGGAGATTTTGGCGACTTGTCCTATTAAAAATAAATAATATACTGTTAGAAATCAGAAGCAGGTTGATTTTTTTAAAAAGGACAATTTATAACCTTAAAACTAAAATTAAAATTATTACACAATTATCCAAAAATTAATGACACAATCATCAAAAAGAACAAATTCTTAAATAAACAAAATGAAAACAATCTACCCTCGCTAAATATACAAAATTACAAAACAAAACCTGAATGTATGTTGCACGACGGATGGTGACCGAATAGGGACAAGGCGGCCGGTATTCCGCCGCTTATATAGTAACTTTCATCCTAACCCCACTCTTAACCTAAGTAATATCCAACACGGACTTTCCTGACATCCTGACGTCCCCGTCAGGTAAATCAAAAGGCGCCAGACTTCAATTCAGATCGAGCATATAAAGTCCTCGGGAAGCCTCTGGTTCCAGGGGATCTGGTCGTGATGAGGGCCCTGGTACTGGTTCTGGTGCAGGCATAGGCCCGGGCAGGTCTGGTGCAGGCGACTCTAACTGAGGTGGCTGGTCTTCAACCACACTACCACCGTTATCATCGTCATTGTCTGTGGAAGAAAACCACAAGTAAACGTCAAACCATTAGTAAACGGCGAGGGCACCAGCCCATGTTGCCATCATGCAGGTTAATTCGTGTTAGTGTTAAAATAAACAACTAAGTATAGGGTTTGAACGTCGTTGTTTAGTAGTTCAGTTACTTATCTTTACCTGTAGTTTATAAATTAATAACTTCAGGTTTCATAAACACTAACGTTCAGACAACTTAGGTACTAAAATAACTATGACTAGCATGCTTAATAAAGAACACTATGAGCGCACATCTCACAGCGACTGATCGGTTTGCAAAGCCGACCAGCTTCCAGAGGTCATGGGTACACCCTACAGGTGCACCACACTGACAGAAGGCCAAACAACACTACTATTCCCACGAATAGTAAGAATCTCCACAGAGTCCAAAAGGCAACATTGCCCCAGGACATTTCTTCAAGGGTACCACACAAGTTGGCCAACGGCACTTACACAGTGGCACACTT